TTGAAGGCGGGCCGTTTTCAAAATATGGCTCTCGCCTCAGCCTTCGCGCAGCGCACATTCGCTTGAATAATTAGCCAGCGTTCCACGGATTGAGGGCGGGTCGTTTTCAAAATGTCGTTCTCTCCTTAGCGCCGCGCACATTCGCTTCACGGATTGAGGGCAGGTGGTTTTCAACATGTGGCTCTTGCCTTAGCGCCGCGCACATTCGTTTTGAAACTTTGCAAGAGTTTCACGGATTGTGGGCGGTTCCTTTTCAAACTATGGCTCTCGCCTTAGCGCCGCGCACATTCGCTTCAAACATTTGCAAGAGTTTTACGGATTGAGGGCGGTTCCTCTTCAAAATGTGGCTCTCGCATTAGCGCCGCGAACATTCCAGTTAAAATTTGCAAGAGTTTCACGGATTCCAGTGGTCAACGTACCAGAAATTATGTGTTGTAATGATTCAGGATTGTGCGGGTGCAACAATTATGTTAATCCGCGGTGTCGAAGTCCCAACATTGCGCTCTGACACGGTTCCGGATCGTCAGGACGCAGCAGTCAGGTTGATACGTGGCGTTGCATTCCCGAGAACGATGTTTTGGTATGCTTTCGGATCTTCAAACGGTTGTCTTCCAACGAGGCAGCTCCCTCTATGGAACTGAACCGTTACGGGGCCATATGAAGATGGAGCTTGGAGGGAGGGTCAATCCCAACATCGTTGATGACTCTTGGTTTTACACTGGTCCTCTTCCTCCCCCCTCCTCCCCCCCTCCTCCTTTCCCCTCGTCCTCCTCTCCTTCCCCATCCTCCTTACCTTCTCCTCCTCCTCCTCCTCCTCCTCCTCCTTCCCCCTCTGTCTTACCTTCTCCTCCTCCCACACCTCCTCCTCACCCCTCCTCCTCTGGCCTGCACCTCATCACTACTGCCTCCTCCTACTCCTCCTCCTCCTCCTCCTCCTCCACCTCTTCCTCCTCCTCCTCCTCCTCCTCCTCCCGATCCCCTGCCTCTGGCCCTCTCCTCGACCTGCCCTGCCCGATGCCCGCGCGCTGGCCACTGGCGCATCGACTTGAGGAGCACGCGCTGCTCCTCGCGGCGGGGGGCTGCCGAGCAGGCTTCCGACGGGGCGACTGGGTGGGGGGTGGAGGAGAAGGACGGGCAGCCAGGACTGAGGAATGAGGAATGAGGAGGAAGAGGAGGAGGAGGCGGAGGAGGAGGAGGAGGAGAAGGAGGATGAGGAGGATGATAATGCGGAGTGAGGAATGAGGACTGAGGAGGAGGAGGAGGAGGAGGAGGAGGAGGAGGAGGAGAGAGGAAGACCTCTCCCGGGCTGCATTCCAGTGGGAGGCGTCAAACCGTCGCACCCTCCGAAGGCTCGGGGTCAAGGGCGCAAAGCGGATGGCGACCTGGATGGGACGAATTGACGCCACCATGTTTGCTGTCCAATGCTCTTCCGGATAGCACCAAAAGGCCACCCCTAAAGGGGGTCCCCAAAACGCACCGAGGCAGTTCCAATGCACAATTTCAAACACCGAGCGCCTTTTATGCTTGGCACCTTGCTTCTTCGCGCCCGTCCGCTGTGACGAAAATCCACGGGACAAAATCATGACAGCCTTCGCGGCGCTCCCGCGGGAGGCCCTGCAACTCGCCGAAGACGATGCGAAACATGTGATCATGCAGACGACCTGGCGGCTGCCCTCCCGTGTTGTGCCACTGCAGCCGCACTTCCCTCGTAAAACAGTTTGCCCAAGAATCCCTTCTGGATGGGCTGGTGGGGGCGGATCGTCTCAAGAACTGGAGCCTACACAGTCGGATACTTTTGGATAACGTGTCGCCGAGGCGGACCCGCTGACACGCTATGCCATGCCAGTGGACAGCGTGTCGCTCCGCTCCGTCGGGCGAGAGGCTTGGAAAGGATCGCGACGTTAACGCCTAGGGGCGGGGCAATGGATAGCGTGTCGCGCCGAAGCGTGGTGGGCCAGAACCGGCGGAGCGACACGCCACCCAAAAATGTCCGACAATAACTCGCCCTTTCCTCCCTACCCCCTCACCGTGGCAGCTCACTGGCAACCAGTGATCGCAGATTGATTGAGCCGCTTGCGCGATGGAGCCAGTGGTGTCAGCATCAGCAACCACAAAGCCCCTACTGAAGGGTAGCTTTGGAATGACTGGCCCTGATGGCGCAACGGCGCCCGACGACTGCCCACGATGGCACAAGGAGGCTTCCAAGAACGTCTAGGAGGGCCCTGAAAGGGCCACCAACCAGCTCCAAAGCATATCCTCACTCTAGATCCCATGTGCAAGCCCCATCAAGCCAACAACCTTGGATGTAATCAGAATACAATAATATTCGAGCGAGTGCAACAACGTACGCGTAATGGTTGTATTCGAGTGCTGGAGACACACACACACACGAAATGAACTCTCGGTGCAAGAAATCTGAAGGCATTCTTCTCGTCGAATAGTGAGCTCCCTGAGGTTTCCCAAAATTTTTGTGACCTCCAGGGCCATCGGGGGATCCGCCACCGCGCTTGCAGCGGTATAGGTTGCGAGGCGGGGATTTATCCATATCCACCGCCCGGGAACCGACGTCCTGGTACTCCAGCGGGCGGTGGATATGGAAGTATTCGGGCCCCCAGGGGCCCAAACATATCCATATCCAGCGCCTGCCGAGGTCCCCGAAAATTGATCCTCCAGGCGGTGGTCATGTATAGAATTCCGCCTCGGACAGGTGTGTGTCGGGCCCTCTCGCTCCTCGCGAACCACTACCTGGGCCCCCCTCCCCCCGGTCCCACCCGACGCCCCGAGCCCACGGGGCGTCCACGTGCACGACCATGCCCCCCCGCATGTTCGGCCCTCTAGGCAGAACGCGTGCCCAAAAATACGAGGTCGGGGCAGGGCTGAACCTAAACGGTGTTTTTCGCTTTCGTTCTGCTTTCGTTTTCCCTCGTTTTGTCTTCACAGTCCGCCTTTACCGCAAACCGAAATCGAAACGAACACGGCCCACGAAATCGCCAAAAACACCGTTCAGGTCCAGCCCTGAGGTCGGGGGAGAAACCTGCAGTGGATTACCCCCGCCGCCCCCCCCCCGCCGCCCGCCTTCCCCTCCCCCCCCCAGGCGCCCGCCCGAGCGTGGCGGCGGAGTCGCGCGGCGGCGGAATCGCGCGGCGGCGCCGGTGGGTAAGGATCTCCCCTGGGGGGGGGCACCTGCTGGCAGGACGCACCGGCTGCACCGGGCTGCGGGGCTGCAGGCACCGTCGAGCGCAGGATAAGGGCGGACCGAGGAGGGCTGCGTGCGAGGAGGACAGAGGAAAGAGGAGCAGGGAGCAGGAGGAGGCCGACCTGCATGATTTGAATCGGCAACCAGATGGCATCCGTCGAGGGCAGGAAAAAGGCGGACTGAGGAGGGATGCGTGCGAGGAGGACAACGGAAAGAGAAGCAGCGAGCAGGAGAGGCCCACCTGCATGCTTTGCATCGGCAACCGGATGGCATCGGAGTGTGCGTGGGACCGGGCCGCGTCGGCACGGAGTCGAAACCGACTCGGATCGGCCGCGCCAGGATACGCAACAGTGCCACGCAAGCACTTGGGACATGTCGCGTCGTCGATATACTGGAGTCGAAGCGGATCGGCCAGAATGGCTATCGAATCGTATCGACTGGATCGAGATGGGCTCTGCGGAGGTGGGGCAGGAGAAAGGGAAAAGGGGGGGGATGTGCGAGGATCGCAGGAGGACGCCGACCGGTCCACACTACACTGGTCCTGGCCAGGCCCCATCCTGTCGGGCGTTGGCAGAACTGGGTTTAGAGGGGCCTGGTTTAGCGATGTGTACTGGGGGACGCCCCTCCGTCCCGTTCCACTAACCAGAACTGCCGTCACCCGAAAAAACACGAGCTACGGCAGACCTGGTTTAGTGATTCTGGCTAGTTTACAGGCTCCGAGGCCCTACCACTAACCGTATCCACTTACCTCAATCCTGGCCAGGCCCCATCCTGGGAGGCATGATGGAGGAGGAGGAGGGAGCAGGAGGGGGCAACTGTGCAAAACGACGCCAGGATCGGGGCAAACTCGGATCGGGATGAGTCGGGGATCTCTGAGAGCCCAAGGGTTTGGCGGATGCATCGGGCACCGCGGCAGTTCCAGAGAAGCGCTCCAGAGCGACCTGCAGGCACTTCATCAGGCTCTGGAGCAATCTGTACTTCCCAATCCCAGGCCTGCCTGAAGGATGCGCCATGGAAAGAGAGAGGAGGAGCTGGCATTCCCTGCACTCCCTGGCTCGAATGCCCTCTGAGAAGGTGTACAAAAGGGTCTGCGAATCCGGCCACCAGCCGGTCGATGCACCTGTGCCTCAGTCCCACGTCGCCTCGGCGAGCCTACCCGTCTGAAACTCGACGAGGACGCCACCGTTGTGATCGCCGCCAACCAGGCCCTCAACGAACACGTCCTCTGCGAGGCCGCCAGAGGTGTCACCGGGGCACACGCACATCATATCCCTGTTGGCAAGGCTGGCGGCAGCCTCGTTGTCGTTCAGGCTGTCGGTGTGGCGCGGCTGCATGCGCTGCTCCCTGATCTTCTCCCAGCGGACCTTCCAGTCTGGCTTGTTGTGGCGGGGGCCAGTCTCGCGGTCGAGACCGTCCCTGTGGCGCTGGCACTCGGGCGTGACATCCTCCAGGGACTCAGGGTGCGCGTCGAACCCAAGCAAGCCGCCAACGTCCGCGCGGCCCAGCGAGCTCAGGCGACGCACGGCCAGATTCAGGTGCTCCTGCCTGGGAAGGTCCTGGCGAATGACGAACTTCGTGGGCTCGCTGCTCAACAACTTATTCTTCACCTGGATCTCGACCTGCCCTGCCACGGTCGGCACATCCTCCCTGGCGTCCTTCTTGCTGTGCCACTTCGCCGTGGACACGGTCACCCCGAAGCCATCCTTCGTCTGAGGCTCTGAGACGACGTAGCTCGCGTCGGCCCACTGCGAGAGTTTCTCCCAAGGGGCCTCGTCGGCAAGCGCGTTGGGGGATCGATCCAGCACGCGGAGGCCCAGGAATTTGTCGGTCTCGTTCTTGGCATGCGACCTGAGGTAGGAGCGCACCTGCACAACCTTGCTGCCGAGCCAACTGCCTGCGAGCTCCACCTCGGTGATGTATGTGGTACACGGCTTCCCGTGCTCGGGGAGGATTGTAGCCTTCAGCTCCACCTCGGCGGGCTTGAGAATGTTCTGGGGGATCCGCAGGAGAACGAATTCCCCTCCGTGGTTCACGTCGAAGTGCTCCCCATTCAGATTGACCAAATGCGGGTCACCCTTGGCCGACACTGTCGGGGCAGGTGTCGGCAAAGTCGTGGGGATGCAAGCGCCGCAACCACCATTGCCGGTAATATCGCACTTCGTTGACTCGCCACAAACCTCGGAGCCACATCCGCACGGGAAGAAGCTGGGATAGCCAACTCCATCTGTCGAAGAACAAGTCTTAGTAACACGATCGAACTGGCTGAAATCCATGGTCAATGCCGGAATGTCGAAGGAGTTGGCAGGAATGGTAGGCGCGGCGCCTGTGATGACGAACGTACCGTGGTCGCTAGCGCTTTCACAGCAGCACTTCGAAATCGTGATTGAATCTCCGACGGACGGAGCGAATCCGCCCAAGTCGGTGTCCTTGTTGACGTAGATCCTGGTGTCGCTCACGCTTGCACTCGCGCTGAGGTACATCGCATCATCCTCCATGCAATTGTCGCAGTCGGCAACGGCGAACGTGCCAGTATCGCAACTGGCGCACTCATTCGTGCGGCGACGCCTGGTTTGCCCAGCGCATGATTGGGGAACGCTCGTGCCAACCGCCACATACTGTCCGCAAGGGGCTTCGCCACTCGTTGGCAGTTCTGGAGGGCAGACTGCTTCGGTCTCGTTGAGACAACCGTCGCCATCCAAATCATACTGCTCATAAGGTGGACTCATGTACGTCGCGTTTGCACCCGCAATTTGGGCCTCCGAATGCTCCAGACATCCACTACCATCTGTGTCGTAATAGACGAACGAGCAGCACGAACCAGTGCAATTGCACAGGCATGGAACCCCGGGCTCCATCGTCGGTTCAGGCGTCTCCGCAGGCCGGCCGTTGGAGTCCTGCAGGGAATACGGTCAAATCCCTTATATAGCTAGATGATGAACAGAGAGTAGCAGGCAGATCAGGTGGCGGAGGAGGCGGATGAGGAGAGACAGGATGAAAAATGCTCATGCGAATACAGTCATGACATACACGGTCAAGACAATGCCCCAGGGACCATACATTCTTCTTCAATGCCCCTGCGCAGACATCAGTATGAGTTGGATTTCGCCGCCGACCATGGAAACGAACGCAAAAAGGCATCGCAACGCCAAATACGTATGCGCTCGTCTCGCGATGGGCTTCTCACGACAATGCTGCGCAAATCTGAAGGACATGTACACTTCATATACGAAATAACGGAGTGCTGGCCAGGCAGGCATGAAACTACGCTTGCCATGGATGTGAGAGCTGCGTGGAACCTCCATCCATCCCTCTGGGCAGAGGCGGTCTCGTGCGATTCATCTTCAAACTCTCTCTCTTTCCCTCTTGGGGAGGACTTGGTCACTGCTCTTTGTTTATAAACCCCCTCCCCCAATCGACCGGCGGCCGACCAGGAACCATGCCGACCCCCGTCCCCACCATACCCGTCAGCCCCAAACTGCAATCCCACATGCCCTCTGGGCGTAGGTGGTATAAGGCGTTTCCTCTTCCACCGCGTTCCTCCCCTTCGGGAAGGGGGGTTTTCACTGTTCCCAATTCGTACACACCCCCTTTCCACAAACGACTGGGAGCCAACCAAGGACAATGAGGGCACCCCCCCACCATCCATTGTAAAAACAATACAAAACAAACTCTGCCTCAAAATTGGGAGCATGCGCAACGAACCCGATGCGGCCTCCCCCCACCATCCCTGTCAAAAACAATACGGAATACACTTGGCGTCGGCGGCGGCTGCAACGGCTGCGGCGGGGGCAGCGGCTGCGGCGGCTGCAGCGGTGGCGGCGGCGATGGCGGCGGCGGCGGGGTGGCGGCAGCGGCGGCGGTGGCGGCGGCGGCGGGGGGGGGCGGCGGCGGCGGCGTGGCGGGCGGCGGCGGTGGCGGGGCGGCGGCTGCAGCGGCGGCAGCGGCTGCGGCCCCCCCCCCCCCCTCTTCGGCAGCGGGGTCGACGGCGGCGCGGCGGCGGCGGCGCGCGGCAGCAGCGGCGGCGGCGGCGGCGGACGGCGGCGGCGGCGGCGCTGGCGGCGGCGGCGGGGGCGGCCAGCGTGCGGCGGCGGCGGCCGGCGGCGGCGGCGCGGCATCGGCGGCGGGGGTCGCGTCGGCGGCGGCGCGGCGGCGGCGTGGGACAACGGCGGCGGCGGCAAAGGCGGCGGCGGCGGCGGCGGCGGCGGATTCGCCCCCAAGGGTTGCCCATTCAAAAACGACTGCTGCACATGCTGCGGTTCGGGCCGGGCCCGGATGCTACGTATGTGTTGGGAGGGCGGGTGGGAGTGAGCGGAACGGTTTGCGGGCGGGGGGCGCAGTACAGTGGCGGGGTGGGTAAGCTCAGTTAATCACTGCTCCCTCTATTAATAGTACACCCGAGTGTCCTCAAGCGAGCTCTCGAGTGGGAAGCCAAACCAAACAAATGAAAGCCCAGACCTCCCAACACCGCATCCACTCATCACTATAAAAAAACAACTATGCCAAACCACGCTACTGTGCCTCCACATGACGGAAGCATGCGCACCGAACCCCATGCCACGCGGCCTCCCCCCACACATCCCTGTCAACAAACCAATAGGCAGCCTCAACTTGGCTGCGCTCGCGTCGGCACGGCAGGGCTTGCGGCGGAGGGCAGCGGGTTGCGTCTGTCTCTTCGGTGGCGGCTGCAAAGGGTTGGCGGCCGGTGACACTGCGCGACGGCACGGCTGGCGGCGGGGCTGCGGCGGCGGGGGCGGCAGCGGGGGCGGCAGCGGCTGCGGAGGCAGCGGCTGCGGCGGCGGGGGGCGGCGGCGGCGGCGGCGGCGGACAACGGCGGCGGCGGCGCGGCGGCGGCAGCGGCGGGCGGCGGCGGCTTCGCCCGCAGCAGCTGCACATCCAAAAACGGTTGCTGCATATGTTGTGGCTCGGGCCAGGCTCGGGCGCTACGGATGTGCCGGGAAGGCGAGTTGGGAGTGCTCGAGACGACTTGAGGGCGGGGAGGGCGTCTTGATCACTGCTCCCTACTAGTATCGACTCCCTCCTCCAGGCGACTGGGAGCCAACCAGGGGCAATGAGGGCCCCCCCACCATCCCTTTTAACCCACCATACAAAACACACTTTGCCTTCAAATTCGGGGCATGCGCAGCGAACCCCAATGCGGCCTCCCCCCACCATCCCTATCAAAAACAATACGGAATACACTTGGCGGCGGCGGTTGAGGCGGCTGCGGCGGGGGCAGCGGCTGCGGTGCCCTGCTGGACCCATGCTGCAGGTGGTATGATGGCGGGCTGGCGGTGGCGGCGCGGGCTGCGGGCGGCGGGTGGCGGCGGCGGCGGCCAGCGGTTGGCGGCTGCTGCCGGCCAAGCGCCTGCGGCGGCGGCCGATTCGGCAGCGGGGGCGGCGGCGGCGGCGGGCGGCGCCGGGGTGGCGGCGAGGCGGGGACCAGCGGCGGCGGCGGCGGCGCGCGGAGGCGTGGGGCGGCGGCGGCGACGCGGCGGCGGGGGCGGCGGATTCGCCCCAGTAGCTGGCCACATCAAAGACGACTGCTGGCATATGCTGCGGCGCGGGCGCCGGATTCGGTGCTAAGTATGTGTGGCAGGGCGGGTCGGACGTGAGCGATGCGGTTGCAAACGGGGGAGGTCGTCTGGAGCACTGTCTGCCCTTATAGCTGGACGCCCCCTCCCCAAGGCGAACTGGAGGACAACCAGTGGTGGTTCAATGCGGGTGGGGACGCGGCGGCGGCGGCGGTGGCGCAGCGGGTGGCGGGCAGCAGGCTGCGGCTGCGGCTGAGGGCGGCGGCGATGGTGCGTGGCAGCGGGGGCAGCGGCGGCGATTCGGCGGCGGGGGCGGCGGCGGAGGCGGCGGGCGGGGCGCGGCGGCGGCGGCGGCGGACAGCGGCGGCGGCGGCGGCTGGCGGCCGGCGGCGAGGCGGCGCTGGATGGCGGCGTTCGTAGCGGCCGGCGGCCGTCGGCGGTCGGCCAGGCGGCGATAGACATCCCCTCAGTAGCTGTGTGTGCACATTCGTTAAAGACGACTGCTGCATATACTGCGGCTCGGGCCAGGCCCGGGTGCTACGTATGTGTTGGGAGGGCGGGTGGGAGTGAGCGAGACGGCTTGCGGGCGGGGAGGGGGACTCTTGACCCCTCCCCCGACCCCCTCCCCTGGACCTGGACGGCGGGTTTCGCGGGGGGTTGGAGCGTCCAAGATGGCCTCGGCGAGGAAGCCAACATCATTGGTTTTACTAGAGCTTTGGCCCCATTGTGGCCTCTCCGAGGGGGGGGCCCTTCTTTGATCGATCTCCTCCAAGATGGCCCCAATAGCCGCCCAGGAGGCCCCAGGAGGCCCCAATATGGGCTGAAAGATAGCCCAATGTGGCCCCCAAGAGGCTCAGGATGTCCCCAAGAGGCTCCCAAGAGACCCCAAAGAGGCCCCAAGAGGCCCCCCAGAGGCACCCAAGACGCTCCAAGAGGCCTCGGCGAGAATGCCAACATCATTGAATGTACGTAGGTTTGGCCACATGTTGGCCTCTTGGGGGGGAACTGCTTCAGATGACTCCAAGAGCGCCTGGGAGCCCAAGATGACTCCAAAATGGTTCAAGATATCCCAAGATGCCTCAAGATGGTTCCCACGAGTCGAAAGTGAGCCTGGTAACTCAAATCGCATCCGATTCCATGGACATCGGATGGCAAATAGCGTCCATTCCTCTGCTGCGGTGGTTCAGTATGGGGAATAGGCGGATACGATGGGATAAGATCGATGTGTCGGTCTTTCCAGCACATAGCGAACACTCGCGGTGTCCGGGCAAATAGGGCGCGCGCGCCTTGAGCCAAAGGCAACGGCGCGCGAGCTATGCTCCCGATACTATAACATCTCCCAAAGAGCTACCCTTAAAGTCGGGAGGGGAGGAGACGGAGAGCATAGCCGCGCAGCCGTTAGGCTCTTCAAAGGCCGCGCGCACGACTGTTTGCAAGAAAGAAAACAGTGCGTACAGTCTGGCCTAACACCCGACTGTAAGGCGAGTTTCCTCGCAAGGCATTTCACGCAAATACAAGATAGCCCCTTTGAACGATGAAGGGCCATCGGCTCAGTTAGAGGTAAGCCAAACAGGCCATACCTCACCGAGCAAATATGTATTAAGGCAAAGAGCCTGAGTCATACAAAGCCGGCTCGTTGCCAGGCGTGAAGTGTAAGGCTCGTTTCCGAGCAACTAGAAGGGCGCCTCTATGGTAGGCGCCCATGCTGGCAAATTGGACCGCGGGGGCAACAAGGACAGACTAAAATTGATTAGACTTGGGTTTGTCTCTGTCCCCGGGACCCCGAAAGGGGACAAACTGCTTCACGTCATACTTGAATGACTGAGTGCCTGACATCACTTCCAGAAGCAGCTCCCGATCGATGCTTCCCTTTGTACGCCCGTCTGCGGTCATATCCCTAGTATCACACCACTGCACGTTATGTACTATACCTATATCCATGAGCTCACGTATCCAACTGATGTGTCCAAGCAGAGTCCGCTCTGTCGGTATCTTAAGATCCTTGCTTGATGACGATTTATAAACGGACTCAGC